GGGCTTCTCCCAGTGCGGTGGGGATCTAGTGCAAGTTTGCAAGTGGTTCTGGTTGCCCTCAGTGGGCATGTGCAAGGAGAGCAATGCGGAGGCTGGGCATGAGGTCAGGAGTCTGGATGATGGAGGTGACAAGGGATGCAGAGAGGCAACATGTCTAGACTGTCTGCTGCCTAGGAATCAGACCCCTGGGATGGAGGGATGGAGACAGCAGCAGGCAAGAGGGAGGAAGGACAGGAAAACATTTAGGCTTCTGACAAAGCCACTCCTGAGACACAGAACACAAAAGCAGAGCTGGGGCAACTGCTGAGTTTAATTTGGGACACAGTAAGTCTGAGCAGCCCGTGGAATGTCCAAGGCAAGATGAGCAGCAGTAAGGCTCCCTGGAGCCCTCAGGAAAGCAGTTTCCGGGGAGGTGGGACAGAAACCACACTCAGGGGGTTTAATCCTACATAATAAAAGGCTAATATGCAAATCGACTGAACGGTGGAACGACCGGTCGCTATGATGCGCACTGACCACCAGGGGGCAGATGCTCAATGCAGGAGCTGCCCCCTGGTGGTCAGTGCACTCCCACAAGGGGAGCACTGCTCAGCCAGAAGCCGGGCTCTTGGCTGATGAGCGCAGAGGTGGTGGCAGAAGACTCTCTCGCCTCTGCGGCAGTGCTAAGGATGTCCGACCACTGGCTTAGGAGAGCGGGCCTAAGCTGTCAGTCAGACACCCCCTAAGGGCTCCCAGACTGCGAGAGGGCGCAGGACAGGCTGAGGGATCCCCCACCCCTGAGTGCATGAATTTTGTGCAGCGGGCCTCTAGTCTTAAATAAGGGGCCAGGAGCTTTGCCCTTTCTCCACTGACCTCAGCTCTGTCTTCAGTGGCTGGTGACCACGGTGCTCCTGCTGCCTGGGAAAATCCTGTGGACATCTTGAGCAGACCCTGAGTCCTGCGGGGTCTGCTCTGGGGCTGAGCTGAGCCAGAAGAACAGCAAAGGGAGGCTGCCAGTCTTGGGCTGGGACCTGTGGCTCCCACCGTAGAGCAGGCAGAAGGTGTGAGGGTCCATGGAGTGCGGCCAGAATCAGGTGCTGCCAGGGACCCCACAGGAGAGAGGGGCTTCTGCTAAGGGGCAGCAGCCTCTGCCCTTGGACTTGTGAGAACCAGAGCCCAGACAAGGCCTTACTGGACGTGGGGAGAAGGGGGTACAAGAAGGGAGGAGCTCCAGAGAGCTCTCCTGATGAATCCTGTCCCCAGGGAGCCCGTGAACATGGTCATGACCGTTGGCAACAAGGAAGATGGGATTCTGGCAGGAACGGAAGGGAAGTACTCCTCGATGGCGGCCAGCTTCAGGTGAGGTGCTCCAGGGGCTGGGACATCAAGACCAGGTGCTTCTGCCGGAGCTGGAGGGGAGCATGGGGCTCCTGCGGGGCAGGGCTCAGTGAGGAGAGAGGGCGCACGAGGGGACTGGTGAGCGACGGGGGCTTGATGAGGACCGCAGGTCCATGGGGACAGGAAGCCTTAGTTTGGGGAGAGGATGGGGATAGGGACTTGGTGGGGGAAGGGGCTCAATGAGTGGATTGGGGCTCAGGAAGGATGCAGTGGGGAAAGGGACTCTAAAGAGAGGAGTGGGGGGACTCTCTGGGAAGAGAGCTCAGTGGGGAGGTGGTCTCATTAGGGGGCTCAGTGGGGCCTGTGTGGAGGGGCTCAGTGGAGGGGGTTCAGGGAGGTGGTAATGAGAGACCTCCAGTGTCAGGTGCACAAGACCAGATGTGGTCAGGGGAACCCCTTCTGGGACTCAAAAGTCTCCTCTGAAAGATGCTGTTCTCACAAGTGCAGGATGGGGCAGGGAGAAGGCGATGGGAGGGAAGGTATACTGACCCTTGTCACCCTCTTTCAGGTCCAATGAGCATGAGAATGCCTATGAGAACGTCCGGGAGGAGGAGGGCAGGGTCCGGAGCACCCCCATGTGACCCCACTTGCCGGCGGCCCCCAGCGCTGATCCTGGGCGCCTGGAATCAATGCCATGCCACTGAGCAGGAATCTACAGCAACAGGCCGACTTCTCCACCACACCCCACCCCACCCTCCTTTGAATCCTCCTTCGGAACTCAGACTGTGCCTGGGATGGGGCTCCACTGTGGCTCTGAGGTCTCCTGGGGGGTCTCCCACTCAATTCAATTCAGGAGACCCTTCTGAAGGAGACAGTCAGCTCAGCACCTCCCATCCTGCCTACATTTCCTCCCCTCACTGTGGAAATGGCCTTATTTCTGTGAATAAAACCTTTTTGTACTTCGGAGGCTCCCAGGGCTCAGAAACAGCCTTCAGGCAGCCCCTACCTTGCGTTCTGCATCGTGACAATCAGCACCAACGCTGCTCTCCAGGCGGCATGGGAGGGTTACCCAGGAAGCCCTCTCTGGGAGGCCCCGTGGGGCCAGGGAGCTCACCACTCCACCATTATTCCAGGCAGCACAACCCCCTCCCGCTGGCTCCATGCTGCCTGGCACTGTGGTGGGTTCACTTTCTCACCCATTCAGCTCCCCCTCCCTCCACAAGCCTCTCTGGGTGGGCTTCCTGCATGGAAAAGAGTCTTGGACTAGGGACTTAGGAAGCGCAGATTTGAGTGCCCGCTGCTCCAGCAACTTGCTGTGTGACTTTGGGAAGAGTCACCATCCTCTCTGAACTCAGCTTCCCCTCTGTGGCTGGTTTGGCCAGTCTCACCACAGAACCAGTCCTGGGGTGGGGATGGGGTTGGGGGTGGAGTCAGGCTCCCCATGAGAGTGAAGCAGGAAGGAGAGAGAGGAGGCATGACTTAGCTGCTGGCTGACCTTGCAGGCCTCTCACTTCTGTGACTGTCATTCTTATGGGAACAGCCTCTGTCTCTGTCTGGGGTGACAACCAGAGTCAGACTGACCCGGGAGCACCGCCAGATGCAGAGGAGTGGGGCTGCAAGGTAGGAGGCAGACCACTTGTCCCCAAGATCTCCCTCTGCCAACTGTCCCAGCCTGTCACAGCGTCTTCCCTTCACCGTTTGTAGCCATGCCTCTGCGGTTCTAAGGCTTCACTCAAATGCCCTGGGCGACCCGGCTGAAGTCCGGACTATCCCTTCTCTCCTCACTGGGTTTGCAGTCGGCAGCGATGGGGAGACCGGACAGAAGGGCGGCAGGGTCTTTGCCCCAGGCTTACCCTTCCTTGCTGTGTGCACTTGGGCAAATCTCCTCTCCTCCCTGAGCTTCAGCTCAGTGAATTGTGGCGGTAGCTCTTGTGATTGATTAAGTGATGCTTAAGATGATTTTCAAGATCACTTCCCTCATGCTCAGAGGATCATGAGCAGAAATCCTGCTTGGGAATTGTACTTCAAGCAGCCACCCCCTGGGCGATGCCCCCTCACCCACCTCTGCTAGTTTCAACTCTGCATATCCCTTTTTTTTCTTGGCCCAAACAAGGTTCCTCTTCCATTAGGAAGTCTTCCTGGATTAGACCAGAGGGCAGAGTTCAGGGACTGAAGGAGAGAGGGAGGTTCCTAGCGGCAGAATACCTCTCCCTCCTCTCCAGCCTCAGGTCTGAGCTTTGGCTGCCTGGATCCGATTCTCCTTGCATGAAACTACATTTCCTGCCACTGCTGCCCCCAAGGTGTCCTGAAGGTGGGGTGGGGTGGGTTTGAGTCCGGCTCCCCAGGCCTGCTAGGGCCCAGATGCAGGGGGTGGGCAAACTTTTTGACTCGAGGGCCACAATGGGTTCTTAAACTGGACCGGAGGGCCGGAACAAAAGCATGGATGGAGTGTTTGTGTGAACTAATATAAATTCAAAGTAAACATCATTACATAAAAGGTTCCGGTCTTTTTTTTTTTTTTTAGTTTTATTCATTTCAAGGGCCGGATCCGCCCGCGGACTGTAGTTTGCCCACGGCTGGCCCAGAGGCAGAGCCACCACCCCTCTGCAGCAAGTGAAGCCTGCGCCTCTCACCTGTTAGGTTTTACCAGGTGGGATGGGCTGGCAGGGGCCCTGCCCAGGTTCCTGGGCCTCTTCAGCCCCTCCCCATGCTGGCAGGACCAGGATGGTGGGAACTCTGGGGATCCTTGCAGGTGCTAGGCTGGCACTGACCTTTCTACTACGCCCCCCTCCCCCCTTGTTCCTGCCCTGACAGGGGGCAGGGGGCAAGGGGCTGTCGGCCCCAGAACTGCTGGAGCCCCCAATCCTTATCGCTAGTTCCCACCTGCCCGACTGGCCAGATGAGGGAGGGAAAGGAGGCTGGGCTCGGGCCAGGGTGGCGCTTAATGACCCTCCGGGGCCCTAATCTCCGATAGGCAGCCGCTGAGCGGCTCAGGCTGGATCCTGGAGGAGGCTGATAACGTACCAGCTGGGCCCCCCACCATCTATCCGGGCGGCACAGCCCGTCCCGAGGGGGCGGCGCTCACGGGTCTGGGGAGGGAGCCCGTGGGCTGGGGCGGAGGGGATTCCAGGCTCCAGAGTGACAGATGAGGGGGCGGGCCCGAGCCGCGGAGCGGTGGGGTGGGCACGCAGGAAACCCCAAATGGCCGGTGCTGCTTTACGCCTTCCCGCCTCCTTCCCACTCCTTTCTCCCGGTTTAGGACCTCTCCACCCGGACCGGCGCTCCCAGCCTTTATCGATCTCCGATCTCCATCACGGTTTCTGTCTCTTTCTGGGTGCGTCTCTTGGCCTTTGTTCTTATCTTCATCCCTTGCCTCTGCCCGGTCTCCCTTGCTCCCTCCACCTGAGCTCAGCGCTCACCGTCCCCTCTCCCACTGCATCCTTTCTCTATTTCCAGCTGGTTCTCCCCATTGCTCCCCCCCCTATCCCCACCCTCCGCACATGCCCAAGCTGCCCTGATGTGACCCGTGGAGGGGAAAGTCCCTCATGGAGTCTCCCTTCCTTGTGCCGCATCATTCCCCCCCCCCACCCACCCCGCTTGCTCTCCGGGCAGAAAGCTCAAATTGCGCACACCCTGGCTCTAGGGCCAGCAGGGTCTCTCTCTCATTCTTGCTCCTCCTACTTCCTGGAATAGGACTCGCACCTCTCTTTTTCTTCCCCTACCTAACACATGTGGATTTCACAGGGTTACAGAGTAGATTACGCCCAAATTCAGGCCCTGCAGGCTCCACCCAGGAACTGCAGATCTGAGGGAGATTGCAGCGCAGCTTACTTCAATTAGACTTGAGGAGGAACTTCCAGCCTGGAGTTCTATGTTGAGTGTCACCTGTTACATAGAGGCCAGAGCGCCAGGCCATGGAGATGGTTTCCAAGATCACTTCACTCATGCTCAGGTATAATGAGCAGAAGTGCTACTTGCGGATTGTGCTTCCAGGAGCCATCAGATCTGGACTACAGCTGGGCAGCCTCCTGGGGCCCAGGGTAGAGGTGAGGTGTGGGGTGCGGAGTGTCACTGGGAGGGGATGTGACCCAAGTCACACACACTCTGCCCTGTCCCCTTGGACCAACCTCACAGGTGAGTCAGATGGCTGGGGCTGTCAGACTTGCTCCGGGACCAGGGCAGGAAACACTCGCCCCTCCTCCAGATCTGACCAGGGGCCTGGACCCCCCGCCCCCACCCCCACTCCCACCTCTCCTTCCAGTTTTCAGTCCCTGGAAGAACACACAGTGGCCAAGGCTTTGAGAGTGAGGGTCTTGCAGACTTGGGTTCAGATTCCAGCTGTGGTCTCACTGCTGGTGGGACCATTCAGGTGCTCCACCCACGTGCCAGCAAACTGGCTCTGTCAAGCCTTCCCGCAGGGCTGCTGAGGGAGGAAGGAGACAATGCATGTTACTGTGGCACCAGGACTTGCCAGAAGACCACCTAGGCCAGCCGTGGGCAAACTACGGCCCATGGGCCGGATCCGGCCCGTTTGAAATGAATAAAACTATTGAAAAAAAAGACCGTACCCTTTTATGTAATGATGTTTACTTTGAATTTATATTAGTTCACACAAACACTCCATCCATGCTTTTGTTCCGGCCCTCCGGTCCAGTTTAAGAACCCACTGTGGCCCTCGAGTCAAAAAGTTTGCCCACCCCTGATCTAGGCCCAGTTTAGATGTCACTTCCTCTGGGAAGCTCCTCCCACCCTGAGTTAGGTGCTTGCTCTGGGCTCCCCTGCTCCCCCGCCCCTCCACTTGCTGTCTGTTTACTTGTCTTTGTCCAGCTCCAGCCTGATTGCTCTTCAAGGGCAAGAATGGGGTCTCTTCCCTCTGTGTGTCACTAGCACCCAGGACAGGGTTGAACTCAGGGGAAGGGAAGCCCTGGGCTTGGTGAAGAGACTCAAAGGAAGGAAGGAACTAAACCTCAGGAACTATCTGTCCAGCTGTAAATCTGTCCACACCCCTCAGTCCCACACAGGTGCACACACACATGGGCACACCCACACACATTCTCTCTCTCTCTCTCTCTCTCTCTCTCTCTCTCTCTCTCTCACACACACACACACACACACACGCACACACACACACGCACACACACACAGTTTTCGT